GTACCACATTTTTTTAATCCAGTTCAGCTTCGATGGGCAACATGGTTGGTTCTATGTTTTTGCTATTGTGAATAGAGCTGCAACAAACATACATGTGCGGGTATCTTCTTTGTAGAATAATTTGAGTTCCTCCAGGTATATTCTCAATAGGGGAATTGCTAGGTCATATGGAAGGTCAATTTCTAGTTCTTTCAGAAATCTCCAGACTGTTTTCCAGAGTTTGCATTCCCACCAGCAGTGTAGAGGCATTTCTTTTTCTCTACATCCTCGCCAGCATCTGTTGTTTGTTTTATTAATGGTGGCCATTCTTACAGGGGTTAGGTGGTATCTCAGTGTGGTTTTGATTTGCATTTCTCTGATGATGAGTTAGGCTGAGCACTTTTTCATGTGTCTGCTGGCTGCCCGTACATCTTCTTTTGAGAAGTATCTATGCATGTCTTTTGCCTACCTTTTAAAGGGGCTGTTTGTTTTTTCCCTTTGGTGCGTTTGAGTTCCTTGTAGATCCTAGATGTTAGGCCTTTGTCAGATATACAGTTGACAAATACTTTTTCCCATTCTGTGAACTGTTTTCCTGCTCTCTTGATGGTTTCTTTTGCTTTGCAGAAGCTCGTTAATTTGATGAAGTCCTACTTATCTATCTTATTTCTTAAGTTATTGGCCTTTAGGGTTCTGAGTAGGAATTGGTTCCCAGTTCCAGTTTCCATAAGGGTGTCTCCTACATTTTCTAAGATTCTTATAGTTTGAGGTTTTACGTTTAGGTCTTTGAGCCATTTAGAGTTAATTTTTGTATTTGGTGATAGCATGTTTGTTTTACAAGAAAATACTGGCTGAGAACAGTGGCTCATGCTTGTAATCCCAGCACTTAGGGAGGCCAAGGCGAGAGGATTGCCTGAGCCACACATTCAAAACCAGCCTGGGCAACTTGGCAAGACCTCATCTCTACAGTAAATCAAAAAATTAACTCAAAAAGAAAGAAATGGAGGGAGGGGGGAAATACCAATGAATTTTCCAAGGTGGTGGTATCATTCAGTTTCTCCACATTCTTGATAGCATTTGATGATGTCACTTTCTAATTTTAGCCATTCTGATAGTTTTGTGTAGTGATATCTCTCTTTTTTTCCTATTTATTTTTCTTCTCTCTTTTTATTTATTTTATTGTTTTTTCCTTTTTTGAGCTCACTCGTCACCCAGGCTGGAGTGCAGTGGCACAATCACAGCTCACAGCAGCCTTGACCACCTGGGCTCAAGTGATCCTTCTGCCATAGCCTCCCAAGTAGCTGGGACTACAGGTGTATGCCACCATGCCTGGCTATTTGTTTGTTTGTTTTTTGTAAAGACGAAGTCTCTCTGTGTTGCTTAGGCTGGTCTCAAACTCTTGAGCTCAGCTGAGCCTCCTACCTCAGCCTCTCGAAGTGCTGGGATTACAGGCATGAGCCACCGTTCCTGTCCTTTTGTAGTGATATCTCAAAGTGGGAGATGGAGAGATTCTGCTGTCCCTTGTCCATGGCCCCTGTAGCACTGGCCCTTGTTTTGTGGGTTGCCATTAAGCTGTCACCATCACTATTACCATGATTGGTAGCCCCTTGAAGACAGGGCTCATCTGGCTCCAGCTGTAGTCCAGGCTCAGACCAGCATACGGGCTTGTTTCAGTCCTCACAAGGGAAAGGCCCCTTGGAGTTATGGTGCTGAAAAAGGCACTGTGTCCTACCTAACCCTTCACAGCAAGTAGCTGCTGTTGTTGAAAAAGCACCCTCTAACCAGGCTCGGTGGCTCAGCCTGTAATCCTGCACATTTGGGAGGCTGAGGTGAGTGGATTGCCTGAGCCCACGGGTTCGAGACCTGCCTGGGCAGCGAGACCTCATCTCTACAATAAATCAAAAAACCAGCCGGGCGTGGTAGCGCATGCCTGTAATTCCGGCTACTTGGAAGGCTGAGGCGGAAGGATCGCCGGAGCCCAGCAGGAGAGGCTGCGGTGACCGGGAGCGGCCACTGCACTCCGGGAAGTCTGGGCGGCGGAGTGAGACTCCAACTCAAAAAAAAAAAGAAAAAGCACCCTCTGTTTCAAAGAGTCCAGTATCTGAGAAGCAAGCAGTAGGCCTCTGGTGTTCCATGTCCCTGCTGTAAGCCAGCCCCTGGCTGGTCTGAAAATGAGATTCTCAGACAGCTCAGACTCCCACCCACAGCAGGTCTTATTCTGAGTCTTAGTGGAGAACACGGAACTGGGAGAGACACGGTGTGTGGGGTTTTCACATGAGGAAGGAGGGGGTGTTGGCAGGATAGGGAAGGGGTTAGCTGAACTCTGAAGTGTTCATGTTTGACCAGATGAGGAGGAAACATCCAAGTAGAGGAAATGGGGGATAAGGACAGTAGCATAGAAGGAAAGGACCAGAGGGACAGTAGGTCTCTCAGTGACCTCCAGTATAGCAAGGTTAACCATTCCTTAGCCAGTGATCTCTGCTCTATTGTCACTGCCTTCCCTGGCACAGGTCAGGCTCTGTCCCACCCTGTGGCCCATGCACATCACCGCCTAACCCATACCCTACCATTCAGCCCAAACCCCAGCTGGAGAGTACCTTTGTGTGTGACTAGGAGGTGGAAGGTGTCTTTGGCTAATGTTGGCATTCCCTACTCCCCACTAGGCCACACTTGCCCTCATATGAGGATGGGCAGGGCCTTTGTGTGTCTGTTTTGGTTGCTTTTGAGTCTGACCCTCATTCTCCTGCTCCAGAAATCCTTGCTGAAGAGAATGGCTACAGCCGAAGCCTGGGCCAGGTCAGGCAGGGCCTCCACATTGGAAGGGAACTGAGAGGGTTGCAGGCTTCACTTTTTCACCTTCTCCCTGGGCCTTCTCTCATCCTTCTGCAGGTTCATCATGCCTCGTTGCATATAAGAAGACCCCACCGCCGGTCCCTCCACGCACCACCTCAAAGCCATTCATCTCAGTTACGGTCCAGAGCAGTACTGAGTCCGCCCAGGACACCTACCTGGACAGCCAGGATCATAAGAGCGAGGTGACTAGCCAGTCAGGCCTGAGCAACTCATCGGACAGCCTGGACAGCAGTACCCGACCACCCAGCGTGACACGGGGCGGAGTCACCCCAGCCCCTGAGGCCCCAGAGCCACCCCCAAAACATGCAGCTCTGAAGAGCGAACAAGGGACACTGACCAGCTCCGAGTCCCACCCTGAGGCCATCCCCAAAAGGAAACTGTCATCAATAGGAATACAAGTAGGGGCTCCTTTTGCACTCTGTGTCCTCGGTCCACTCCGTGCACCTGCCTGCGTGTAATTACATCTAGTGGAGGCCCACTAGGTCTCCTGGGAAAAGGTGTTTTGTCTGTCTATTTTTGGGGGGTCAGCCCCAAGTGGCCAAACTAAATTCCACCCATAGCCTCACTTGCTTATATCCACGCACGTGTGCTGTAGGCTCTGCAACTGTGGGATGTGTCTCTGTTCCTCTGATGGGTTGTCCCAGTGAATGTAGTTACACTCAGCCAGCCATCTCCTGTCCACTGTTTGCCTGTCCACTGTCTGTCCACTCCACCTTTTGCCCTGCCAGCAGACCCGTGGGAGGCGGGACTGGCCTAACAGTTCTCTAATCCAAGGTCAGCTCGGGTGCGGAGGCCATAGCCCCGCTCGCGGCGGGAGCAGCATGGAGCATAGACGCCGATGGGCCAGGGGCCCAGGACCCAGGGCCCTTGAGCCATGGGGGTTGCTCAAGGGGAACTTTGCCCAGAGCCCTCTCGGGCCTTGGGGACAGGTAGGTGGCTTGAGGCACCAGGCCCATGTCAAATTGAGAAGGGTGGTGCCGGTCCTGATGTCTCCCTCCATGGGAAAGGGTCCCGGCAGATGGCTGCCAGGTGGCCACAACCAGCAGGTCTTGCAGAGCTACGGCACATGGCAGGGTGCGTGCACCAGCTTCCCTTCCACTGCTTCACTCCCTCCTGCATGCATCCAGTATCAATAACCTGTCTTCTGTTTGCTGAGCTGGGGAAACTTGGGCCCTACCTTGTCGTTTTAAAAAACTCCTCCAAATCCTGATTGAGGAGACTCTCCCTGTCCTGGCTGGACCTGCAGACCAAAGTGGAGCACACTCAGGACAGCAAGGGAGGGGCAGCTACAGTGGGCGAGTGCTCGGAGGGAGGCAGGGCTCTCCCAAGCCCAGGGGTCAATCAAGGAGGATGAGGTGGTGTGCATTGTGGCTAAGGGCTGGCAGGGATCTCATTTCCCAGCTAGCCCTGAGAAAGTTGATGACAAAGCACTAGAATGCAGGAATGTGGGACACAAAGGAGGGACTGAAGGGAACAGAGGAGGCTCACTGGGCAGTTTCATGATGTTGCCTGGATATTTTTCCCCCCCCCCCCCGAGGCAGCTCTGCGCATCAGAGAGTTGAACAGGAAGGCTCTGCAGGCTATTTTCTGGGCTCTTTCCTAAGAGTCCAGGCCGCACCCTGTACAGCCTCTCCAGGTGGGACCCAGAACCACTGAGTAACCTGGTCTCTGACCCTTGGTCCTGACCACCCTTGTCTTTGGACAGCCCTGCCTTCCTGTTAGCCAGACCAGATGTTCTTGTCTTTCTAGAAGGCCTGAGAGTGAGGCCCACCCTCACTAGAGAATCCTTTCTCCCAGAAAACGATACTGGGATAAAGGACTCTAACTCAGCCTGCCCAGGTGTCCCTTTCCCTGATTCATCCAGACCCATGTCATGTGCTCACTGCAGCTCCTTAGAGGCAGAGTGATGCTGTAGCCCTTGAGCTGACTCTTCCTGAGGAGAAATGTGGCTGCAGTCCTGTCCCAGAAAGCCTTCTGGTACCCCGGGTTCTATCCAGGAGGCCAAGAGCCTAGAGAGCCCCCAGTTTCTGAGGGTACCCTGAACCTACATCCTACCCCTCCATGCCTCACACACTCGGTCAAGCATTTCTCCCTCCTTGAGAATAATAGGAGGGCTGGCCTGGTTGCCCATGGCCAGGCACCTTTGACCCAACAGCAGGCCTGGAACATCGCTGTTGCCACATTTCTTCCACTTACAGGAGTGAAGAGAGTGCTAGCTTCGGACTTGGTCCTGCCCCTACTGCCTCCCCCGGGCCACCCAGTGCTGAAGGTAACCTCAGCCACATGAAATGAGGCCCGGGAAGGCATCCCATAGCGTCCAGGGACTTCGCTGGCTCTTACCTTGGTGGCAATTTCCAAATGCAGAGTTGCTGTCCAAGATTGGCCCTCAGTGCAGCACCTCTAGCCTGCCCTTCCAAGCTTCAGCCACAGGGTTGGGGGGGCGATCTTCGCCTCAAGACAGCCCCCAACTTCAACTGCACCAGATAACGGCTGTGGCTTTGTGTGTGTGTGTGTGTTTTCTTTCTCTTTCGTCGTCCTTTTTCTCTTCTCTCTGATGCGTGTAAAGGAGAGGACTAGAAGGAACGGTTCCCACCTCTCGGAGGACAACGGACCCAAAGCGATCGATGTGATGGCACCCTCCTCAGAGTAGGGAAAGCCAGTCATCTCCACCCCATCCCACTCCCACCCACCTGCCCGCCCGCCTCCGTGCGAATGAGCAGTGCCCGGCTTCACCGGTCCAGCCTCGGGCCCACGTGCAGTGTCCGCATGCCTCGTATCTGTCTGTCCACACGTCTGTTTGCGTCGTCCCACTAATGTGAATTTCAGCAGCAAGTGTGGTGTTTGTTTTTATTTTTGTCTTTGTCTCCGTGCCGTTGCTGTCGTTGTCCTTCAATAAGGTTGACTGCATTCAGCCAGTGCCAAAAGAGGAGCCCAGTCCTGCTACCAAATTCCAGTCCATCGGGGTTCAGGTAGAGGACGGCTGGCGGTAAGTTGGACAGAGGTGGTGGCTGCTTCTCCCCTCTCCTCCCCTCCCTCTGCTCTCACTCTCCTGCTCTCCCTAACCCACTTCTCCTTGCTGGATTTCTAATAACCAAGCTGGGTTTGGGGTGCGGGCGGTGGCCCAGGCATGGGAGGCTGGGCAG